TCGCCTCGTGTCCGAGACATCTGGGACAGTTAGTGAAAAACTTTTGCTATGCAGTCGACAACGAAGACGACATTAAAGGCCACGACGACGCCGAAGTCAACAAGGAAGACGACAACGAGGACGCTGACATCGTCGAAACAACGAGGAAGACTTAAGTGACCTAAGGTGTTTTCAAGAAAAACATCGGGTGATAGCTGGGTCCCAAGGGTAGTGCACTACTTACTAAGAACCGTCAGCGACAGACGTGACAATACCAGTGAAAGACATGCTCTGTCTCTTGAGTGACTTGTGGTATCCCGTAGAGAAAACCATCAAGTGACTTGCTGTGTCAGAAGGACAGTTAGCTACTTAATAGGAATATTAAGTGACGACTTGCCAAGACCAGTGAAAGACAGGCTCTGTCTCTTCAGTGACTTACTGTGTCGTGTGAAGAAAAACATCAGGTGACTTATTGTGCCCGAAGGCTAGTGATCAGGTTACCCGGCGTCTTCTGTTATCGCCTTGTCAAGACTATTAAAAGACATGTGCCCTTTCGTGAGTGCTTTAAGCTGTCCATCGAGAAAGATATAGTGCCCTTTTGGCACCTAAAATTGCCTTGCCCTCATTCATCGCCTGGTAGCGCCGCCTCTGACCTACAACTTAATCCCTCCATGAGCGGTGATATCTAACAATATGACACAACAGTTCTCCTTTTTTTTACTATAGCTCAACCATATCTGTACGGCCAGAAGACGACACTTTGACACACTGGTCGTCCTTTTGCTATTTTCCCCCTACAACTTAAACTACCACTGAGCAGCCAGCCTCCATTAATATATCTCAACGGCCGCCACTTTGCTAAAGTTTTCCTTTTTACTGCACCACAAACCCTTCTTAACCTACCAACCTCTAACACTATGACAAGACACCCGAGCCTCTGTTGTATGTTCTCCTTTTTACTACAGTTCAAACCATTCCTGAGCGGCTGGCATTCGTTGCTATGACATGAAGGTCGCCATTTTACCATAAATTCCCCTTTTTACCTTAACTCAAACCCTCAATGAGCGGCCGGCATTCGCTGCTATGCTACAAGGATCGCCGTTTTGCTTTCTTCCCCCCCCCCTTTTTTTTTTACTTCAACTCAAACCCTCCAGGTTCTGTTTTCTTCTTCTTCTTCTGCGTTCCACATCAGTCATGCTAAACACTGAGTCCCGTCTGGGTCACAAATAGGATTGTGCGTTTAAGGTCGCCACCGGTCTCCTATAGCTTCTCTTGCAATGTGGCTCCCTTGGGCCAGATCCACAGTCTTTGCTGGGAGAGGTTAGGGCAGTACTGCAGTATGTACTCAGGGGTCTGTCTTTCTGCTCCACAATCACAGGCAGCAGATTCTTTTATGCCTATCCTGTACAGGTGTGCTCGAAGACCACCGTGTCCTGTCCGAAGTCTAAAAAATGATGTTTGTTCTTTCCTGTTGAGTTTGTTTATGCTGTCACTCTCTGGTCTGTAGTTTCCATTCTGCTTTCTCCACTCCCGCTTAAAAGACTGCTTTAGCGCTGTTTTGGTTTCCTTGTAGCTGTGTGGTGGATGAGGTTGTGAAAGATTACTCTCAGCTTTTGCTATCTCATCTGTTCTCTCTCATTTCCGTGAATACCACAGTGGGCTGGTATCCACTGCAAGACCAGTTCTGCTTCCTTGGAGAGTAAGCCAATTAGTTTGTCTTGTTTTTTGCTTGATAGTGCTTGGAGAACAGACAATGAGTCACTAAGTATAACAATTTTGTGCACTCTGTTTTTTGAGTGATGAGATGTTGGACTGCAGAAAGGAGGGCAGTTGCCTCAGCTCTAAGTTAGTGCAGATGTCACCTGCTGGTAGATACAGAATTTCTGCTCTACTGCTAGGGGGTTTAATGTATATTCTACGACCCCCCTTTCTGACTGCATCTGTAGCAGAGTCCAAGTGGTGTTTGGATACTTCTCATCAAGCATAGCAAGAGCCAGGGTTTTCTGTTGTGTCTCCATCTGGGCATCTTTTGAAGTGAACCCTGGTACCTTTAGAACTACATTTGCCTTCTCTGGCTTGCTTGTCCGTGGTTCTGTCTTCTGTCTTCTTCTATTCTTGTTGGAGCTCTGACGCTTCAGTCTGTTTTGTGTTCTCTCTTGAAATTTAAAGTGCAGTGGGTGACTTTGAAGTCCTTTTAATTTCTCACAGGAGCTGTCAACATCCAATAATATATCACAACGGTCGCCACTTTGCTAAAGTTTTCATTTTTACTACAACCTAAACCCTCCTAAAGTACCAACATCTAACACACTATGACAAGCCGCCCACCCTTCTGACGTATGTTCTCCTTTTTACTACAGCTCAAACCAGCCCTGAGTGTCCAGCCTTCGATACCATGACACAGACGATGCTGTTGGTGCCTAAGCCACCCTTTCTCATATATACCCGGTCATCCAGCCACCTTCCTAGTTGTTTTTTTTTTTTTTTTTTTTTTTTTTTTTTTTAAGCCCTAAAACGGCAGCCCGTCACTGTCACCACACCAGCCGACTTTTCCTAACCCGACTGCTCCAGCAGAATTACCACTAAAGCCTACTGATCAATCAGAACCTTCGCATATTTATTTATAAAGTCAGATAGTCTGCCAATTATGCCCCTTTTCATCGGTCCTCAACACTATGACCAGACACCCATCATTCTGTCGTACGTTCTCCTTTTTACTACAGCTCAAACCATACCTGAGCGGTCGACCTTCCCTCCCATGACACAGATGATGATGACGGCGCTCGAGCCGCCCTTTCTAATATATCCCCGGTCATCAAGCCGCCTTCCTAGGTTTCTTTATCTTAACCCTAAAACGGCTCCCTCTGCCGCATGTCACTGCCGCCTATAGGTCTGTTTTCATATCCCCTAAATTGTTTCGTTTTGTACCATATATATACCCCGCTAACAAACCACTCCTAATTTTGTCTATTATAGTGCTAATAAGCCCGCGCCAACTCTATTAGTCGTCCTGTCGCCCCGGGTTCCCTGCTCAGCCCGCCCCGCTGCTCACCTAAATATTGTTCCGGACGTCGCCATTTATGTAACGCAATCCACCGACGAGTCAAACGCCACCTGTAGTCCACGGCTTTGAAGATAATAATTCGCCTGCAAAGTATCGATTTTCCGGCCCGAGCAACAAAACACTAAAGAAATATCTATTAACCATACTTTCCTAATCTTACTGACCAATCAGAATTAACTACTGAAACCGGCTGAACAATCAGAACCTTCGAATACTTATTCATAAATTCAAATAGCCATTATACCCCTTGCCGCCATAAAAGAACCTCACCCTCTGCAACCTGAAAAAAAAAAGTAATTACTAATCACAATTGCCTGTGGGGAATGAATCATCCGCCCCTTTGTCATAAAGAAATATTTGCCTTTCCCCTAAGAAAATACCAACACCCCGGGAGACAACATATTGATTTCATATACCTTCCCCGCGCCCCTAAAACCAATCACTCGTGCCATCATCACCCGCCCGATCGATATTTACTAAGGATAAAAAGAGGGCCAGTGCTAACCCGCTGGAAAAAACCAATCACTTGCGCACTCAGATGGCCGCCATCTTTTACAAGGATAAAGAAGGATAGATTTGCCCCCTTGTGGTGCGTAAACGACTTATACACTACTTATGCGTGCCGCAATATATAAGAAGCCCTACCCCCTCCCCTCCCCCCCCCCCCCCCCCCCCCCACCCCCCAAAAAAACTCAACCCAGCTCATTCAAGTATTTTCTTATATCCTCTTTGTTCTCAGGGCTAAATATTGATCCAATTGTGCTTTTATAAGTACTTATTCCCGTGTGGGTTCTGTGTTCCCATTTTAGGAAAAACAAGAATAGACCTACGGCCTCCCTAAAAAGCATGTCGTAGGAGTCTACAAAATGGTAGCCTCCTTCGAAGTCAGAGTACACCAGTGGCAAGAAACAACTAACTGCAAACAAATGAGCCATTTTTTATTTTTTATTTTTTTTTCAAATTAAATTTGTGTTGTTGATCTAGAAACCATGACTTGTTAACTCTTTGGCTCGGTACTATGGATATAGCAACTCTTCGGCCTTGATTCCATGATAGATACCGTAACTCTAGAAAATATGTGGCTTTTCTGCCTATCCCTGAGCGTGAACTCGGACCACAGGGAATTAGTCACCATCGTCGCCGGGCAGTTGGTTTAATCAACTTAGCTTGGGCGCAGTTAATTAGCCACTAAAATGCATTTACACGAAAAAAATCAGCGTATCCTTTACAGGAGGTTGCAGAACCAACCCCAACAGCCCCTGGCTGTTGTGTGGTTTTTCTAGGCAAATTTACGTCCAATAGTTTGCGATGACAGTACAATATGCAGGATATTAATTCAGAAACTGAAGCCAAGATGTTGAATGTGAATCCGCCCCAAGACATATTGTTTTTTTTCCTTTTCAAAATCGATCTTAGCTTCCATAATGTGATGAAAAAAATAGGCGGCTAGTGTAATGTTGGCACAGGAACCCATTGATCTATGCAAATATGAGTCTAGCATGCTCGTTGCACCACTGCGTTAAAAAAAAAAGGCCAGTTCGTCCTGACTGCTACTTACAATTAGAAGAGCAAATGGTGAGAGTGATGCAGCGAGGAGCGACGAGGGGATCTGGCCGATATTTGACACATAGAGAAAAGGCAAGACGGACGTATAATCAGAATGTTATTGGCACTACTGATATTGGAACTCTGCGTTGGCTGCTGAAGATAGAGACGGAGAGCTTAAGGGAAGGACCCGAGTGCTATGATATCGCTTCCTGAACCAACTCAACTACTTACTTTCGTCACCTTTATGGCTCTGATTCTCCTCTCTCTCTCTCTCTCTCTCTCTCTCTCTCTCTCTCTCTCTCTCTCTCTCTCTCTCTCTCTCTCTCTCTCTCTAACACACTACGACACTATCGTCTAGAAAGGTAGAAAGGTGACAACAACAACTTAAGGTAATTAATCCAAAAATTACCTCTGTTTTTCAATTGTACTTTGTTCTGACGAACTTTCTTTTCTTCTCTTGTCATCTTCGCTTCTGGTGTCCGATGTGATATCAGTTTTTGTTTCCGGTTCTGTCGACAATATCTTAAAAATGCTAGCTGATGCTGCGGAATGTGTCTTGGAACCGAAAGTGAATATTGTGGATGGCTCCTTGGATGTGGCAGCTGTTTCTAAAAAGTCGTCATGCGGCTGTTTGAGACAGAAAGCATCGTTATTTGTGGATAATCTGTCATTTACTAGACACGAGAACAAAGCTTTGCAAATGAGGTGGTAATATAGCTTCTTCTTCTTCTTCAGCATTCTGAGCCCTTGAGGTTCACTGATGCAGATATCACCCGCATCCATTCATCTCTCTGGTTGGCTTTTTCTTTCCACTTGCTAACACCACGTGTTTGCTGGTATGTCTGGTATTATCTCTCCATCGTCTTCTTGGTCTCCCTCGTGGTCTACGACCATTCATCTCCCTTGTGTATGCAGTTTTTACTTCTATGTAATCTGACATTCTTTCAATAGGCCCCAACCATTTCAGTCTATTAGCTCTCATGATGCCAGTGATCAGGGGTGATTTAAACGGAATATGAATTTCGCTGTTGCTTCTCACTCTCCATTCACCGCTGTTTGCATCTTTGATGAGTGCAAAGATTCGTAGCAAGACTCTGCTTTCGAAAACCTGTAACAAGGCCTCATCTCTTTTAGATGTGCTCCAAGTCACCTTGGGACAGAGCAATGGTATGCCACATCACTTTAAACAATTTCCTAATGCCTCAAAGATTTAGTTTTACAGAAGAATCCCTAACATTTCCTGTTTGAGAAAGAAAGAGAGAAAGAAAGAAAGAAAGAAAGAAAGAAAGAAAGAAAGAAAGAAAGAAAAAAGAAAGAAAGAAAGAAAGAAAGAAAGAAAAAAGAAAGAAAGAAAGAAAAGAAAGAAAGAAAGAAAGAAAGAAAAGAAAAAGAAAGAAAGAAAGAAAGAAAGAAGAAAGAAAGAAAGAAAGAAAGAAAGAAAGAAAGAAAGAAAGAAAGAAAGAAAGAGAAAGAAAGAAAGAAAGAAAGAAAGAAAGAAAGAAAGAAAGAAAGAAAGAAAGAAAGAAAGAAAGAAAGAAAGAAAGAAAGAAAGAAAGAAAGAAAGAAAGAAAGAAAGAAAGAAAGAAAGAAAGAAAGAAAGAAAGAAAGAAAGAAAGAAAGAAAGAAAGAAAGAAAGAAAGAAACCCAGATAGTTTGAAAAACTCGAAGGCAACGTATTAGAAACGTCAGAAGGAGATATTCGTCATTCTGTGTATTTGTGATAAGATGAAACTGACACATGTTGAAGATCACAGACTATGTAATGTCTTGATCTCCACTCCAGTCGGAAAGGCACCTAGTTATAACGACTACATATATTTCCAAAAATGGCTTACACAAAATCATTATTGATTTTTTTAAATTTTTATTAAGTATATTTAAAATATATAAAAACCTAATGATCAATGTTCCTGCAGTACGTTAGAATTAATACACAATCTATGGGATATTCAATAACCAGAAGTTAAAGAAAAGCATAAATATCCAATACTGAAAAGGAGGGGGGATTTTTTTTGGAAAAAGGGGGGGGGGGGGGCCTCTATATGTCCCCCTTATAACGTAAATACGTTGGGCAGAATAACGTTGTTTGAGTTAATAATGGTTCTATGGTTAGCTGCGTATCCTTTACAGGACGTTTCAGAACCAACCCCAGCAGTCCCTGGTCCAGTAGTTTGCCATTGCCTACTGGACGGTCGGCCCTCTAATACCACTGTCGAAACCAACGCAAGGCGCATGGCCAGCAGCTGGGATCGAACCCGATACCCCGGCATTACGAAGCGTTCGCATCAACTTAGCCACAAAGCCGACAAGTTATTAATGCTGCTACGTATGAGACTCAATGCGTGTGACAGATAGGAAGCGTATTTTCCATGTCGTCAGTCAACCAAAAAAAAAAAAAAACCAAAGAGAGTTAGAATTTCCAAAGGCAGTGGAGATAGGCATGCACAGCCCAACAGAGATAGGCATGCACAGCCCAACATTAGGCAAAACAGGGAGTTGCCGTGGCCTAGCGGCTAGACGCTCGGAAGGTCGTGGGTACACTCCCTGGCGGAGCAGGACTTTTTTTTTTTTTCAATGACCTTGACTCCCAGGTCGACCCAGCCTTGAGTGGGTACCGGGTGCAGTCCCGGGAAGTAAAGGCTGTCGGCATGATGCTGACCACATCACCCACCTTGTGCCGATTGGTGTATAAAATATAGGTCTAGCCCTATATGCCCTATACGCCTAAAGGCGGGGAAAAGGATTCTTTACTTTTTTACTTACATAAAGCAAAACAGAAGAACGTGTTGGTTTCTCAGACAGCGCTGGGAAATTTATTTTTTTCTGCTAATTGCCATTATTTTCTTTGTAGGGTTGTTTGTATATTATCTTTTACTTGTTATATGTGTCCGTATCAACATCGTAGCCTATTAGAGCAAACCATTCCGTCCTCCAACGCAGCAACAATATCAGTGTCTTCATGACTAACATAATCTTTAGAAGTTGACTGATATCTATTTAGACGCTCAACACGCAGGCGAGACGGATATACAGTCAGACAGTTACTGGTGCCATTAGAATTGGAACTTTTAGCCTAATGATGAAGACCTCTTATGAGGTGGCCCGAGTGCTGCGATGTCGATTCTTAATTCTACATTTAACATTTGACATTCTGATATCTTTACCCCGCAACCGGTTTCTGCATGCTTGTCCTCGTTTATTACACATTTCCAACAGGCGGTAAATTTTCATCTCTTCTTCTTCGCGTTCACCAGCTGTAAACTCTGGTGTAAAGTTCTGGTTGTTCGTCCACTTCTGGACTGCAGTCCTGCTCCAGAAACTGTGTTGCGTGTGCATCAGTTTTACAGATCTGATTCAACTGAATGCAGACTGCTGGTTCCTTGCCTCTCAGGCAGATGCACTCCGACTTCAAAGGAAGCTCCCCAGTTAGTCGACTCTTACGACATGCTTTTGGGGAGGCAGTGGGTCTATTCTTGTTTTCCCCACAATAGGGCCCCGGAACCCACACGGGGAGGTAAATCTTCATGATAAGCTAAACAAGTCACCCCTCTGCGGGAGGCAATTTTTCGTTATTTTGAAGCCCTTTCCTGGCTCTTGCCAGGGGCCGCCATAAATATGGTCTAGTGGCTGAATGCGGTTTCCGGGACCTCTCCACAGGTGATCCTCATCCACATCGTGGCACTTTGTGTCATCGGGTGTTTATCGCTTGTGTGATGTCCTGGTCTAATATGGTCTAATGTCCTGGTGGGGTAAAATTTACTACTTCTACCACTACAAGGCGGTTCATCCCTTGTCTCAACGTCTCTGGAATGCAGCGCACTCAGCATGTCTGCGCTGTTCATACGTCTGCCTTCCTAAATAATGCAGATATGGCCAATATGTTAGCTTTTTCATGCCTTTTACCTCAACGAGTACCAGTGTGTACTGGTGGCTTCTTGATGCAGGACTTGTGGATGCTGCCAATCTATTCTAGTCGGAGTTTAGATCATTTTATGCATTGCGTCAATATCTTTAATAAGTGAGTTGCTTTGTGTTGAGCCAGCCAAGCAGAGACCCATGTGACAGTTGCTATCTCCATCTTAATGCTAACAGTATTTGAACTGAATGTCTGACTTCCTTTTTCATATGTTATCTCTCCGCCGACTTTTTTTAATCTGCGGTATAGTCTACTCCCATTTAATGTTTTTGTGTACACAGTTTTTGTTTCTGATAGCTGCCATTCTATCTGTATTGCCCAACTATAGCAATATTTTAGCCCCAATGATTCCAGTAACTAGGGGCGTTTTTAATAGATTATGAATTTAAATGTTGTTTCTTATTCTCCATTCTCTGTGTGCATTTTCTATTGATCCAAAGATTTGTCCTACGGCTGTTATTAAAAGAACTATTTTTAAATTTGTTGCTTGTCGACCATTGACAAATTCTAAAACATAAATGTCAGCATACTGTATAGCAGTGTATGGCAGAACATTTCATTGCTGTTGCATTGGTAGAGCCAGACTAAATGTTTTCGTGGACCTTATAAGGTCCACTGGCTCAACGTTATTTACCATTGGTCTAAAATTATATTCTTCTTCTTTTTCTTCTTCTTCTTCTTCTTCTTCTTCTTCTTCTTCTTCTTCTTCTTCTTCTTCTTCTTCTTCTTCTTCTTCTTCTTCTTCTTCTTCTTCTTCTTCTTCTTCTTCTTCTTCTTCTTCTGCTTCTTCTTTTACTTCTTCTTATTTTTCTTCTTTGTCTTCTTCTTCTTCTTCTTCTTCTTCTTCTTCTTCTTCTTCTTCTTCTTCTTCTTCTTCTTCTTCTTCTTCTTCTTCTTCTTCTTCTTCTTCTTCTTCTTCTTCTTCTTCTTCTTCTTCTTCTTCTTCTTCTTCTTCTTCTTTTTCTTTTTCTTCTTCTTCTTCTTCTTCTTTTTCCTCTTCTTCTTCTTCTTCTTCTTCTTCTTCTTCTTCTTCTTCTTCTTCTTTTTCTTTTTCTTCTTCTTCTTCTTCTTCTTTTTCCTCTTCTTCTTCTTCTTCTTCTTCTTCTTCTTCTTCTTCTTCTTCTTCTTCTTCTTCTTCTTCTTCTTCTTCTTCTTCTTCTTCTTCTTTAAATATTTTTAAAAAAATATCAATCGAGAAAACAAAACCAATACTTATGAAGTAAAAATTTAAAAAAAAACAAGTAAGTACTGAACTTCAGAGATTTCATACACGAAACAAAAATGTGTCTTACCCTCACTAAGGGCTCTGTTATATCTAAAATTGCCTCGTTGTGTTTCTGTAAGAGTTTCATCTTTTTGTTTTCCATGTCCATTTTTGTTGTGAGCAGTTCTTCGTAAAAAGATTTCTTCTTCTTGAAGTAGTTCCGTATGTCGGCGTAGCGATACAGCCACAACCCCATATATTCAATCGGGTCTGAAGGTCTGCGAATAGTTCAAGTCAATGAAATGAGTTTCGAAATCTCTAGAACCGCTCATGAGTTATTGTGGAATTTGTTCTCTTAAATTGAGAAATAGGTCATTTTACGTTTTCTTTTCACCTTTTTTTTTTTTTTTTTAATTTAAAATTTATTCCAACAATTAGGGTATGTTTTGCTATCAGTCACAGATGGTTGTATAGTGTCGCAGCCACTTTATAATTATAAAAGCTCAGCTTGTGTAGGGGTGGGGCTGGGGAGGGAGGGAAAAAAAGGGGGGGGGAGTTGGAAAACAGGTTAGTTGCGTATCCTTTACAGCCACTGACTGTTGTGTGGTTTTTCAAGGCAAATTTACGTCCAGTAGTTTGCCATTGCTTTCTGGATGGTCGGCTTTCTTGATACCATTGTCGAAACCAACACAAGGCACATGACCCGCAGCTGGGATCGAACAAGGCATCCCGGCATTACGAAGCGTTCGCATCGACTTGGCCACAGAGCCGACAGTTGGAAAACAAGAAAGAAAAAAAAAAAAAAACCCACAACAGATATCTTTTCGGGGAGGGTGGTAGGGGAGGGAGATGAGCTTGATCTTACAATTTTCTAGGGAAAGGGGGGGTGGGGGGTTAAAGAGTTAGTTTTTGAAAAGGGTTGCGGGATGAGGCCTCAGTCTATTTTTTTTTTTTTTTTTTTTTCAGTTCGTTTTTTAAAGTATCCACAGCGGAATTGAACTCTCGTACTCGAGGGTCATGAAACTGTTCACCACATTCTCTACCTCTTAGTCGCATTCATCTTGAACTGTAACTTTGAGAAAAGAAAATTAAGGATGTTTTATGCAATTTTTCTTTATCAACTGAGTGACACTTGAAATTCTCTAAAGCTAAATAAATTATATCCTGATATAAGGTACCTTTTCCACGCCTTTAGGTATACTGGAAATATAGGGCTAGACCTATGTTTTTATAGACCAATCGGCACTTGGTGGGTGATGTGGTCACCATCACGCCGACCGCCTTCACTTCCTAGGACTGCACTTATACCAACTCAAGGCTGGCTTGACCTGGAAGTCAAGGTCATTTTTGAAAAAAATCAAGCTCCGCCAGGCAGCGAATAAAATCAACACAGATAATGTATTGATTGGCACTCATAGAAAGAAGTGGAAAGATAGAAGTACACACTAGACAACATAACAATTGAAAACTATTATTACAGTGTCGGGAATCGAGCCTATCACCACTAAATGTCGTGTGCGCCTTGCTATGGATACAAGAGTACTAAGATACATGACCAGCTGGGCACCTCCAAAAACAATGATGTCTTCATTTGTCACGTCTATCTTACCGCTTGAAATCCACAACTATGGTATATGAATAGAATCCATCTCAAACCTTACGGAACTGACAAGAGATGCCGGTCATGAAGATGATGGACATCTGTAATATAATAGTCACCGGGAAACCCACTTCTTAGACGAAGCACACAAGCTGCAACTCTCCCTATGGAGATACCGAAACTCGGCTTAATGTTGAAGGACCAGAATGAACGAACGAATGAACGAACGAACGAACGAACTTTATTTTCCAAGGGTTAAGAATTGGGCACGCCGGCACCTCGACCATTCTGCCCTTCTTTCATACATCATTTCATTCATACATCAAGGAATAGTAAACATTATCAATGTCATCAAAATATTCAATACAAGTACCGGAATGTGCACATTTCTAACTACACTAAACCGTAGTAGTTGTAATAAATCTTGGACAAATGAGCGCTATTTCTAAAATATTGTTTATCTTCTATGGGGGCATAACTATTAGTATGTGCTTGGATTTGGATAGTTTTCGGACAGTTTTCGTATAGGGACTTGTGGTATTTTTGCCTTCTTGTGGAAGATAGCCCCACAACTGAGCTGCGGAGTACGCCAAACTTCATTTGTATAGATATATCCTAGATTTCTGGATATGTAAAACGTTTAGGCGTTTGCTATGTCTTCTATTGTATTTGAACACCGACCGTAAGTAACATGGAGCTTGATGAGATGAAAACTTTACCTTACACTAAGTACCTCCGCTAAGCATTCATTTAAAGCAGTTCCGATGGACCGTCTAAGATATCTAGCCTCACAGTTGTCGAAGCTTGTCTTCAAACTGTCAAAATCCAGATCAGTTAGATTCGCTAAGCTAATCAAAATCCGACTATTGGTGGATCTACTAATTTTACGGTCCATCGCGATGGCTTCTTGAACACTTTTTTTCCCAATAAACGATCGTTTTCTCTGAGTGACGTAACCGCAGTGTACGTCATTAAATTATGTTGCCTACATCATAGCACTCAAGACATTTCCATAAGCGCCCCGTCCCAATCTTCAGCAGCAAGCGTGGAGTTCAAATTGCGACGGCACCAGTACAGATTGTATGTCCGTCCGTTTACCACCCCTGAATGTTGCGCGTCGGTTAAATACTCTCCTTGGTTACACCTTGCTACACGTTCTCGTCAGTAAGTATTTGTGCTTCCATACCATTTACTCCCTCCCAAGGGTGCCTTACAACATCTAGGATGTATGCACCAATTTACCACTAATTCGTCCAAAGCTAAGCAAAGCCAAGCTATCTTTCTATTCATTTCCCACATACCCGAATTGCCCGGAAAAGATATCTAAAGAGATGCCCGGGGCATTTTTTTTTTAACGTATCCAGAAACCATGAGTTGTAAACCCTTTGGCTCGGTACTATGGATATCGCAACCCTTCGGCATTGATTCCATTATAGGTACCGTTAATCTGGGAGAAATGTGGCTTTTCTGCCTACCCCCGGGAGTGAACCCGGACCACAAGGAGTTCGTCACCCGGCCGCCGCGAAAGTCAGGTTTAACCAATTTCGCTAGAGAGCCGGGCAAACCCGAGGCATTTAAAGCCATAGATAGGAGAGCGGCAAAAGTCTATGACCGTATAAAACATGAGAAAGATAGGCAGCTGTCTAGAACTACCAGGGATGAGAGAGAGAGAGAGAGAGAGAGAGAGAGAGAGAGAGAGAGAGAGAGAGAGAGAGAGAGAGAGAGGAGGGAAGAGAGAGATATAGAGAGAGGGAGAGAAACAGACAGACAGACAGACAGACAGACAGACAGACAGACAGACAGACAGACAGACAGACAGACAGACAGACAGACAGACAGACAGACAGACAGACAGACAGACAGACAGACAGACAGACAGACAGACAGACAGACAGACAGACAGTGAAGCAGACTTCTTCTTCTTCCTCTTCTTCTTCTTCTTCTTCTTTTTCTTCTATAGCATATTCTGCCTTTCAGCCTCAGGTTTTGAAAAGGCGTCGGGTGAGAGCATGTGCTACATAGATAGATGCTCGTATTTAAGGCCTCCGATGTTTCTTCTGCCTATAGTTTGTGCCGGCGATCTCTAGTTCCTCTTCTATTAGCTCTAAATGATATGGCTCTCTGGGGTGCACTATCTTGACACATGTCAAACTATTTGTTCTGTTGTCTCTTGATGTAGCTTTGTAGGCGTTCCAATACAGGCAGTACTTTGTGGTGGTGATCACCCTGACAAGAAAGTTCAGTGATTTGGCACCACAAATAGTTGATGCAGAAGTGAAAGCTTTGGTGGAGGAACACACATCACCGGAAGATGCTGTTATTTATACAGATGGTGTTTTTGACTCGTCAGAAGCGAAGTGCATGAGCTTTTACGGCAAGAACCAAAGATAAGGTCATTAGAGAAGATAGTGAAGCCTTTGCCACTACCACCAGCAGCATGACAATGGAGGGCATGGCTGTGACAAAGGCCCAAGATTGGCTGAATACTTAGGAATTTACCAATTCATGTTTGCCCAGCGACTAAAATAGCATGCTACAGAAGATCAAGCGGAATATATACAAAAACAGGGGCTCCATGATAGAGCACGCAGCGTTTGGCAAAATCACCTCTTTTTGTGTTGCAGGCTATGCTGGAGTGAAGGGCAATGAGAGAACATACGCTATCGCTGGCGTTGCTACTATTAGGAATGGACCCTGTATGGACAGAAGAGACATCATCAATGCCATAGGAGAGAGACTCTGAGAGGCTGTCAGTAACGGTGGAAATGATTGTTCACTGAATAAACTGCATACTCTGTGTATACAAAATGGAGCCGCGAGACAGCAAAACTATGCTGGAGCCATCCGTCGTTACACCAACCAGAACAAAATGGAAGTTGCTAGTCTAAAAACTCTTGGAGACATACTCAGAAGGAGATTGCAGCCCTTATAGTCATGTCCGATGTGGAATAAAGATGGTCTCAAACATGAACAATGACAAATAAGTAATGGTTCCGTTCCATTATCTTTCCTGATATCGTTATTTCTGATCCTGTCTTTTCTAGTTACATTTAGGATTCGTCGTGAGATAGACAGTGATAACATAATAGCATAACATGTTGGCGTTTTTCCATCTTTCCAGGCAATAGTGATATTATGCTATAGAGAGACAAGGAGACCACAGCCCATAGCGATTGCGAGTGAGATTAGTAAGACCAGTTATTGTTAAGAAGAATCTTCCACAATCAGAGCATTGACCTAGATTTCAGGACCATTGTTGCCATAGCTGCTTTTCCGACGCTCAGCTCCTAACCTGTATGTAGTCATTTTCTCCTTTATTTATATTCTCTTCTTGATTTCTCCCTCCACGCGGCACAGTTCATGCTTTACATAACATCTACAAGTGCAGATCATTTCCTTTGAATCCCTCCCTCGCATCTTTGGCCCCAGGACTGCCACGGGGATTCGCCATCTCGCCTGTGCTCTTCAACGTGTATACGAGCAAGATTGCAAGCCTAGAAGCACCAGGAGTTGGAAGGATACTGACTTTTGCGGATAATATACTTGCATATAGGCAGGGGGAAGAGAGGGAGCAGACAGCCCGGGAGCTACAAGCGACAGTAGACAAAGTGACCGAGTGGTGTACAGAAATGAAGGCTGTCGTCCATCCGGAAAAGGCATCTGTTTTGTGGTGTTCTC